CTGCTACTTTGCTGAATTGGTCCACTATGTCCCATAGTTTTCTTGCTGAGTCTTTAGGGTTTTCCATGTATACTATCATATCATCTGCATAGAGAGATAATTTTACCGCCTCTTTGCCAATTTGGATGTCTCTTATTTCCTTCTCTTTTGTCTTATTGCTCTCGCTAAGTCTTGATGCAGAAAAGGCCTTTGACAAAATCCAACACCCTTTCCTGATGAAAACACTCAACAAAATAGGATTAGAGGGGAATTTCTTCAACATAGTAAAAAGTATTTATGAAAAGCCAAGACCCAACATTGTTCTCAACGGATAGAGGTTAAAGGCATTCCCTTTAAGAACAGGAACTAGGCAAGGATGCCCACTCTCACCCACTGTCTTCTTGCTTGCATGGTTTCTGCCTCAAAATCAGAACTTAATCTAGTTGCTTTTCCTTTGTAGGTAACCTTTTCTTTTTCTCATACAGTTTTCAGTAGTCTATCCTTACATTTTATTTTGGAGACTTTTGCTATGATTTTTTTTTATGTTTTTCTTTTTGGGTCTGGCTTATTTGATGGTCGCGGAACTTCCTGAATGTGGATTTTCTCATTCTTCATAATACCTGGGAAGTTTTCTTCTAGTAGCTTTTCCACAATTTTCTCAACGATTTCCCTAAACTTCTCATATTCTGGAATTTCAAGCCTATGTATGCTTTTCCTTTTGACGTCATCCCACATAATTCTAATGTTTCCTTCAATTTTTTTATGTCTCATCTATGATTTTTCCCCCCTAGCATGTTTCCGTTGAGGTCCTTATCTTCCAGCTCAATGAATCTCCTTTCCACATCTCTTCTCTTTTAATTTTTTGTACTAAAGGGTGTTGGACATTTTTCCCATTTCAGTCTTAATATTCTGTATTGCATTTTCATGCCTTTTGGTTATTTCTAGTGCTGTCATGGCACTCCCCTCACTTCCTTGTGATGGTTTTTTAAGTTCTTGTACTCCTTTATCTATAGTTTCAATTATTTTTTTCTATTTTATTGCATTTTCTTTCATATATGTGCCGGTTTCTCCTCACCAACATATTTCTTCTGGCCATGCCTCTGGAGAATTTGCTTTCTTAGTAGTTTCCATTGCTTCTTCCATCATTTGCACCTTCTTCTGTAGCTGTTTAAATAACTCTCAATATATTTTTTCTGGTTCTCTACCTCTAGGTTATTCCCTTTATGTATGGTTTCCATCGTTTCTTCCATCCTTTGCACTTTCTTTCGTAGCTGTTCTTATGTCTCCATATCAACATATATCATCTGCTTTCCTACCTCTGAGGTATTCATGATATTCTCTGATATGAGATATTCTCTAATATTCTCTGCTTTTATTGGAGGAGGTTTAATTTGGGGGTTTTTCCCCCCATGGTGTTTGAAGCTGCCTGACACTTTCTTAACATTATGTGAAGTTTTTCTTAATAAGGGTTATGTCATTTCTATTTTATCCATGAAAGTTGGAGATGGTTATTGTCCTTAAAATGTAACTAATTAGTTGTCAAGTTAAATGTTCCGTCTACTGTAAGTCCTTTCTGGGAAAATTTGCCTTTGCTAGAGTCCTTGAGGTTCTCTCTGGCACTGCAGCCCTTATGCATCTCTTTATGTATTCCCCTGGCAACAACTCTATAGGCCTCTTTCATATATGAAGTGGCTGAGTGGTGTGAGACCAGGTGCTCTACTCAAGCAGTTTCTTATGCACCTCTTCTTCTGTCTTCCTTTGTCTCTGGAGTGGTGTGAGATTAGAGATCAGGGCTGCCAGCTCAAGCAGCTTGTGTATAGGAGGTCTCAAGTCAGCCCTCTCACACACACAGAAAAAGCTACAAATATTTTGCTGTTTATAGTTCTGTATAGTAATGTATCTTGTCCTGATTGGTCCCTGGGATGGCACCACAGCAGAGGCAATGACCCCCAGATGGAGAGACCTATAACCCCAGGGATGTCTCAGTCCTGTTTCCTCACAAACAATGGGCAATGCTCACTTTTGGCACAGAGTTTTACCCCCCTTACCTTTTTTTCCTACAGCTTAGTGTCTTCCTTTGTCTCTGTTGTGGGGAGAAATCAGGACTAACCCCTCAGGCACCTTGTATGCAGAGACTCTCAAGTCAGCTCTCCATTGCAGAGAGCTAAGAAAATTCTTTCCTCTGCTTGAAGTTCTGTGTACTAAAGTATCTTGTACTGTTGGACCCCTGGGATGGCCCTGCAGCTGCAGACGCAAAGACCCATAGATGGAAGGACCTATAATCCAAGAATTGTTTCAGTCCTGTCTCCCCACAAGCAACAGAGAGTGCTTGCTCCCATCTTTTGCTTTCTTGACTGCTGGTGTCAAGGGTGGAGCTGAGTAAGCTGAAATTGTTAACAACCTCAATCTCTTCTCCATCTATCATGGTGCTGCCAATTGACCCAGTGGTGAGAATCTTTGTCTTCTTGATGTTGAGCTTCAATCTACATTGAAAACAGCAGTCCTTAACATTTTGTAGCAAACACTTCAGGTCTTCCTCAGTTTTGGCAAGCAAGGTTATGTCATCTCCATAGTTCAGGTTGTTGATGAATCTTCCTCCAGGCCTGATGTCACATTCTTACTCATAAAATCCAGCCTCTCAAATGATCTGTTCTGCATATAGATTGAAAATGTATTGGCACAGGATACATCCCTGATGCACTCCTTTCCTGATTTTGAACCATGCACTGTTTCCCTGCTCTATTCTGACAAGTGCTTCCTAGTCCAAGTATAGGTTTCTCATGAACATAATCAGGTGTTCTGGGATCCCCTTTCTTCTCAAGGTTAGCTACAGTTTGTTGTGATTCGCACAATCAAATACTTTGCATAGTCAATGACACACAGATAGACATTCCTATGGTACTCTTTGCTTTCCACCAAGATCCATCTGGCATTACCGATAATGTATCTGGTGCAACAATAATGTATCTGGTAGTTCCAGTCATTTTTGGATAGTCTTCAGCAGAATTTTGCCTGCATGTGATATCAGTGATATTGTTTTATAATTTCCATACTCTATTGGGTCACCCTTTTTTGGAATGAGAATAAATATGGATCTCTTCCAGTCAGTTGGTCATGTAGTTGTCCTCCAGACTTATTGGTACAAGTTGGTGAGCTTGTCTAGGGTGACTGTCTGTTGAAATATGTCAGTTGGTATGCTGTCAATTCCCAGGTCCTTGTTCTTTGACAGCTCCTTCAGAATAGTTAGAACTTCCTCCTTCTTCACCGTTGCCTATTGATCATATATTCTTTCATGAAATTCTTCTGTGTCAACCAACTAATTTAGGTATAGTAACTCTGTTAATGCTTCCTGGACCATTCAATATTCCGCCCATAGCATCCTTAAGTATAGTAACTCAAATTTTTAATTTGCTCTTCGGTTCTTCCAGCTTAAGAAATCCCAAACAAGTTCAGCCTTTTGCTTTTCCAACTCCAGCTCTTTGCACACTTTATTATAATACTTTGCTTTGTCTTCCCAAGCTGCTTTTGCAATCTTTTGTTTAGCTCCTGAACTTCCTGATGTCTTCCCTTTACTTTCACTTCACAGCACCCTAGTGCAATATTCAGAATCTCTGTTGATATCCATATTGGGCTTTTGGACCTCTTCTGTCTTTGCAAAGATCTGTTACTCTCTTCATGAATGATATTCTTGATATCCTCCCAAAGCTTTATATGATATAATATAATTTATTGTAGTTTTGGCTAATATAAATTAATTAGCATAAAACCATAGTCTCTAAGGTAAAGGACACTGCAAATGGCTATTGAAGTGACTTGAGGCATAAAACTTCTCTTAAACATTTGAACAGAATTTAGGAAAAGTATTTCCACTGCACCTAGCACACAGTGAGTGCTCAATAAATACTTTATTCATCACTTAGTCATTTCACATAGACTCAAATGTAGGGAGTAATGTGGAGTGATGTTTCCAGAAGTTTGAAACAATATCCAATTCTAATTGAGGACAACATAGTACTATATCATTAATCCATTATAGCGATTTTCTCAGGAACTAATAAAATATGCAAAGTATGTTTTGTTGTTATTATCTATTATTGTATAGGAAGAGACTCAGAGCTGACCCGCCAGTGGGTATTCATAGGTTGTAAATAGTCTGGGAGGAGATTACCCGTCTTTGACTTTAAACTAAGGGAATAGAAACTTCAGGAAACATTCTCACCTTTCCCAAATTTTGTTGTTGTTGTTGATTACCATCAAGTAGGAACCCTTTTGCAGGTTTTCAGAGGTAATAAATCACATGGGAGAAGACTGCCCATATTTCTTTCAAGAAGCAGCTGTTGGATTTGAATCGTGTGGTTTGGATTGTAGAACATCTTCTTATCACTAGACCACCAGAACTCCTTTCCCTAACCTTAGCCAATGCTTTTCAAAATTTTCTTCATTTGCACATTTCCACCAGTAAAAATGAGACATCCAGAATGTGTGCATAATTATTTATTTATAAATTGCATAGTCTGTGTAGTAAATAGAAATGGAAATGCTCATATATTATTTTTTCACACCAGTAGGTCATCTGATGTCTAGACTATGGCTGAAAACAACCATTGTTTGATTCTGAAAGGGCTGGTAGGAGCAAAGGGCTTCAGTATCAGGTCGCTGAGTGCATATGACCTCATCTCACCCATTGGCCTATTCTTTCCATTTAACCCCATCAAAAGAAATAAGCTTTAAGCCTTTAAGACAAAATTATGATTCCACAATTGAATAATGATTTAAAATACTTTATTTCCAAGCAAATGACTCTTTATGGTCATGTTAACCGCTATATTTCATTCCAAGTGAAAAGAGCTAAGTTACTGATTATACTGTAGGATAAAGATGAAGGCAATAAAACTGCAATAAAGCATACTAAAGGATATGGTACAGAAAAAGAGGGGTTTATCTCTTAAGGCTTTAAGGACTGAACAACTTAATCTTCTCTTCTGGGAAATCAGCAATCATCAAGATAGCTCCGCAAGATATCAAAATTTATGATAAAAACAGGTACTACATCGGCACTCTGTATGGTTCTCCACTTTGGTATTCCCCATTACTGTGGCCTAAAGGGAAAGGAAAAAAGATATAAATATATATCTAATATATATAATACATAACTATATAAACATATATAAATTAAATATACATATGCAAATACATTTTTCAAAATTTATATGCAGCCAGATGAGCTGAACAGCTGCTCACTATATTTACATATTCTCTCTTCAAAGTGCTATTTTACTCTAAAAGCATAGATTTGCATTGTATCTTTACCTCCACCCCCTTCTCTTCATTCTAAATAAATGCAGCCTATTCCCACAAGACTACTGACTTAAAAGGCCTACATTTGTAGGTTTCCCGTATATAGTTATTTGATAAATAACTATCAAAGGATGAGTCACCTACGGCTTTGAAACTCTTGGATGCACTCTGTGGGCATATTTATGGTTAGGCTGTTTGAAAGTTTCGGGGATCATTTTTGTTCTCACCTTTGTAAATTCTTTGGCCACACAGCAAGCGGCCTCTGAAGTGATGTTCTTTGGTACTATCATTGTCTTCTTGGATCTTGCTGGCGTGGGGTATGCTTTGGAGTAGCAGCAGCCCATACACTGATAAATTGGGGCACCCAACTTGGAAAAGTATTTATTTTCCTTCAGCTTGCATTCTGGGCAATCTGTTATTAAAAAGGCAAAGAGTAAACTAAACCAAAGAGCATTTAAAAAGAAACCCTAAATATCTCCTTATGTATAGGATAGCAAAAGGTCTTTGTTTTTTGTGTTTGGGGTTGTGTTTTTTGGGTTTTTGTTGTTGTTGTTGTTGACATGAAATACTTGATTTGCTATGAATTGATCTTTCTACATAACATTTATGTGTACTGATTTCAGTTATTTACGTAGGAAAGCAATGCTTGTAGACAGGCATGGGAAATCACATTAGTGGTAGTTTCTTTCTCTTCATCATGAATTCTCTCTCGATGCTAATAGTATATCAATAAGAAATACAAATTTGACAGATGAAAACATAAGGCTCAACTGAGAAGGTAATTCTGTCCAGAAGCAAAATATTCTCCCCTTTGTTTTGTGCTGTTGTTTTCCCCTAGATATTCCAAATATTGACAGAGGAAAAATACGTCAGAGTTAAGACTGTTCAGTGTGTACAAGAAGCCTAATATTAGATCAAGAAAGTGCATTTGGGATTTGAGATAGCAATATTACCACTAAGGTAGAGAAAAATCCTAACCAAATGTGGTTCACAATTTCATAGCAGACAGAATTATAACAGTTATTATATGATACATTTTTACAAGCAGTGCAGCAAACAAATTCATTGTATAAAATAGTTGTGTTTTTCTCACTTGTTAAGTGATGTGAAAATCTCAGATCTTTTGGGAGGAATGCAAAAAATGCTTTAAATAAAACAACTCTGCTTCTAAAACTCAGATAAAGCACAATATGAAATCAATTTAAAATGGAAATGTATAAGCTGCTATTTAAATGGACTTGTGAGACGTCATTCACTGTATGTTTTCTGAACCTAAATGTATATTCACAATCTACAAGTGCCTAAACATGTATCCAGCAAGCAAAGACTCATAAAAAAGGATATAAATGTAAAAATGGACTCTTTATGTAGTTCTAAAATGTTATGCTATTCTTTTTACAGCAAACCAAGATTTCTCACACACCTTGTGTTGAAAATTGTCCATCGGGAAAAGAATGGAGGACATGCAGAAACATGAACAGTGTGGCCACAATGACAGCTGCATATTTTCTGTAATAATCCATGGCTTTCCTGCAGAGCAGAAAGAGAATAGGAGGAAAGATCATTAATCTAAAATTGACTTGCCTGTCTCAACAACAACGAGTAGCTTTAGCATTACTACTTATGACAATGATTACTCTCTTGATCCTTCAGATTGTGGTGTTGACAAAGATTATTCAACACTCCACGGCCTGTCAGAAAAAACAAACAAACTAATCTACCTTGGAGGAAGTGTAGCTACAATGCTCCTGAGAGGAAAAGTTGGTGAGATTTTGTCTCATACACTTTAGGCATAATATCAGGAAAGATCAGTCCTTAGAAATGACTATCATGTGTGGAAAAGCAGAGGGTCAGTGAAAAAGAAGATAGCATATCCAGTGTCTAGAACACAAGTGATGCACAAAAGAGATTGCGAGGACGGTGCAGGATCAAGCAAAGTTGCATTTTGGTGTACACAGGGTCACTGTAAGTCATAACTGCCTAAATGGCACCTATCAACAATAGTTCACTATGCCCAATGTCATTTAGTCAACTCGGACTTAAGGTGGTGACTCCATATGTATCAAAGTAGAATAGTGTTTCACAGGGTTTTCAAGGGCTACAGACCCTTTTGGAAGGAATCCTGGTGGCAAAATGCTTTAAGTGCTGGCATGTTTACTGAAAGGTAAGGGTTGGAAATATGGAGGAAAGATGAGCTAGGTATTCTGCTCCTGTTTAAAGTTTACAGCCTCAGAAACCAGAGGAAGTAGTTCTTGGAGAAAGAAAGTTACAGTTGCCCCCAGTCCTGATCACTCCTTGAAGAAATCTGATAATGTCTAAAGTGACCAGACAAGAAGACATGGATCTTGTTAAGGCTCTGGGCCTGATCACAAAAGCCCATGCCCAAGTTAATTAACAGGACCCCCACCTCAAATTCAGAGCAAAATGCCTTCTTCCCTAGTCCTCCCTAAGTCTCCCATAAAATGGAACAATTTATAGGAATTTTGCAAGCAAACCAGTATAAAATAAAAATTTTACTTCAATTTTAAAAAAGGGAACTACCCTTATCTGCTCTCACACCATTTTTACCTTCTCCGTGTGGTCACTTGGTGTCCCTCTCGACCATGCAATAAGGGTCTGTTCATTTCTTGGGACCAACTTCTTTCTGTCTCTCACTCTCAACTCTTTTCTCTATCTAAAAGAGCTGCTCTGTCCTAAAGAGTCACTGTGAGTTGTGATTAATAACAATCTATTTAGGGATTTTTGTTTGATGTTGTTTTGGGGTGAGATTAAGCACATCACCAGGTCTATCTCTCAAAGTGTCTTTGGGGTGAATTTAATCTCCCAGGCTTTCTACTAACTACCTAATACATTAATCTTTAATTATTTACACTACCCAGCACCAAATACATTCTAAAATCATTTCAACAGTAACAAAAATGGAGCCTCATCCCTCTATCAGCCTACTTGCAGTCTCAGAATCACATTGACTACCATCTGCTCCATCAGGTCATTTTTAACAAACAAGTGAATCTGACCTCTCTGTGAGACCACTTTTGACCCAACCCAGACCTGCCCTCAGCCTGCCTGCATTCTGAGAACTTCCCCATCACCTCTATTTCCTTCAGGACACTTTTAGCAGATGAACCTGACCAATGCTCTCTGCAACACCACTTCTGACCCAACTCACTCCCCCTGGCCCTGGCCTGCCTCCAGTCTGGAAACAATCCCATCACCTTTGACTCTGCCCTGCACTTTGCAGAGCCTACTTCCAGTATTCCTAGATCCTAGTTGCTATATTCTCAGAGCCCAGGGATCTGAGAGAAATTTATGCAGGGTGAGCTGCCCCATCCTCTTCTGGAGCAGTGAGCTCCCCACCTAAGCTACACAGACCAAGGACCTGTTAGACACCAGGTTAAAAGTTAAACACGCATGCGTGCACACACACACACACACACACACACACACACACACACA